CGGCTTCCGCCCCCCTTACACTCCCCCAAAAAACCGCCCTCCCCCAAAATCACTAACGCCCTACTTCCCGCCAAAGCCAAGGGGGGACTACTCTGTCCTCCTCCTCCTGGACCCTTCTCCGGGGGCCTTCGCACAGTGGGCCACCCCCCCCCTTAAAAAAATATTTCCCCTTGGATCAGAGACCCCGTCTCTCCTGGTTCTCATCTTTCCTTTTCCCGACGCTTTTTTCAGCTTCCCCTTTACAATGGTCCCCACCCCCCCCTCCCCCCCCCCTTTTTTGGGGGCCCCCCAAAGGCTCTGCCCCTTGGCCCCCCTTCTTTTCCCCAAATCTCACCTCCCCCCCGGGGCACACTTTACACCCCCCGGGCCCTTTAAAACTTTCACCTCTACGCTGCCCGTCACCAAATTACCTCTCCCCCCCCCTCCTCCCCCCCAAAATCTTGTCCGCATCCCTCCCCCTTTCCTAAACGACGGACATCTCAGATTGGATGTCACCCCTTTTCCTCAAGCTTAACCTCCAAAAACCCGGGGCTCCTCGTCTTTCCCCTGCCCGCCCCCCCCCCCCACCCTACCCTTCCCCACCACAACACCCTATCTTTTCCCGCCCCCAAGCCAAAGTCCTTGGCGTCATTCGGGGATCAAAATTTTCCTTCCTCCCTATGTCAAATCACTCACAAACACATGCGGGCCCCCATCCCCCGCAATTTTTTTTGCCTTTTTTTACTTTAACCTTCCTCCCCCCAGACACCCCCAAACTTTTGTACATCCTCATATCTCCGCCTGGCTACGGAAACTCTCTTTCTTTTGGCCAAACCAAGGGGCAGGCTCCCCCCGTCCAGACCTTTCCTGAACTCAGGGGCCCAAAACTCACCCAACCTCACCCCCCGCCCCCGCCTCTGCCCCCCCCCTCTGCCTCTCCCTCCCTGGTCCCGATTGCCCAACGCATCAAATTTAAACTTCTAATCCTGACTACAAAGCCTGTTCACAACGCTTGCCCCTGACTACTCACCAACCTGATCCCAAGTACCACCGCAACCGTACCCTGCGCTCCTCACAGGACCTCCTTCATCCTGCTCCTGGTTCCTCTCCATGCACGAATTGCAGGACTTCTCAGGTCCTCCCCTATCATCTGGAACTCACTGCCCAATCCATCCAACTGTCGCCTTACCTTACCACATTCAGCGCTCCCTCAAAACCCCATCTCTTCAGGGGAAGCCTACCACACCTACCTAACGTCAATCATCCCTCATTCCTCACTCCACTTCAAACCCCAATCCATCATCCCCCTCCTTTCCACTCAGCCCTTCCTATAGTTCCACTACCCCCTCCCTCCTAGATTGTAAAAGCTTGAAAGAGTAGGGCCCTCTTACCCCTCGTACGCTGGTGTTTTTGTGGTACTGTGCCATGTATTGGTCCCCCTATTGTTACAGCGCCTGAGCAAACCCCTTTTTGGGCGCTATATAAATCCATGTTTATAAAAATTAAAAAAATTCCTCCCCCCATACTGCTCACTGTTTGGGGTCCAGATTTTGGGCGGGGACTGGGGATTCAGCCTGTAACCCCCGGGTCCCCCCTTTCCTGAGTGTTTTCCCCCGTCCTGTTTTCCCTGGATTTTCTCGGATAATTTTCCTTCTCTGTGCTGCAGACACAATTTATGTCTTTTGGGAACGGGATTAATGGAGGTTCTGGGGTTCGGGTGGCAAAAAAATTGTTCATTTTACTTTAACATTGCTAAATTTATGGGGTCTCCTTTCCTTGTTTTCCTGACTCCTCAGGGGCCCCCCTCTGTTATTGCTGGCCCGTGGGGGTGGAGGGGTTTTGTCGGGGTGGGCTCAGCCCAAAAATTTTTTGGGGTGCATTTCAGGAGATGGGAGACAAGCAAGCCCTTTTAAAGGGCCCTTTTTTTTACTGAATACCAATTTTTATGAGTCCGACCCTTAAATGATGGTGGTCTTCAGGATCAGTCCAGTCTTCATCTTGGTTGTTCTCCCCCATCCTCACTCTCTGACCTCTGGTGGGGCTCAGCCCCGCTGTTCTTCATGACTAAATCATGGAGTAAATAAGGAAGTGCAGTACTTCTTGTGTTGGGAAGATGGCGATGAGTGATAGAGGGGGTGGGGACCCTCGTCCTATAATCCCCTCATCACTGTCCCTCCTATAAAAGACAGTTCTGGTTGTTTCCTCACTCTCTGACTAAGGTCCATGAATAAAGAAATGACCTGGTAGGAGATCAGAGGAGCCATTTCCTAGTTCCCTTGAGGGTGGAATTGTAAGCTCCTCAGAGACCAAGCTGCCTGATGTGGGCGGAGTCCTGGTTTGGGGGAACCAATCAACTCCTGTCTAGTAATCCTCTTTGTCTTTGTATTTTAGTCCATGGCCGGGAGATGAGGAAAACCTCCGAGGATTGTCTCACTTTGTCTGCAGACTGGAAAGTAGAAGATGAGGACATCACACAGTATAGTCCAGGAGAAAACCCGGCTCCCTCCAATGTCCATCCGGCACCACCCAGTGTAGATGGACCATCGGATTCCTCGTATCCTGAGGAATCTCAGACTGTGCGGGACTGGGCCGGCCTTCCAACAGGGAAGAGCTTCTCCTGTACTGAGTGCGGGAAATGTTTCAGTTATAAATTCAGTCTTAATGTGCATAAAAGATCTCACACGGTGGAGAAGCCGTATTCCTGTACTGAGTGCGGGAAATGTTTTTCAGTGAAGTCCAGTCTTTACAAACATCAGAGATCTCACACGGGGGAAAAAGCCGTATTCCTGTCCTGAGTGCGGGAAATGTTTTCCAGAGAAGTCCAATCTTTACAGACATCAGAGATCTCACACAGGGGAGAAAGCCGTATTCCTGTCCTGAGTGCGGGAAATGTTTCAGTTCTATATCCCATCTTAATGTGCATAAAAGATCTCACAAGGAGGAAAAGCCGTATTCCTGTCCTGAGTGCGGTAAATGTTTTTCAGTGAAGTCCAGTCTTTACAAACATCAGAGATCTCACACAGGGGAGAAGCCGTATTCCTGTCTAGAGTGCGGGAAATGTTTTTCAGAGAAGTTCAATCTTTACACACATCGGAGATGTCACACAGGGGAAAAGCCGTATTCCTGTCCTGAGTGCGGGAAATGTTTTTCAGTTAAGTCCAGTCTTTACAAACATCAGAGATCTCACACAGGGGAGAAGCCGTATTCCTGTCTAGAGTGCGGGAAATGTTTTTCAGAGAAGTCCGATCTTTACACACATCAGAGATCTCACACAGGGGAGAAGCCGTATTCCTGTCTAGAGTGCGGGAAATGTTTTTCAGAGAAGTCCAATCTTTACACACATCGGAGATGTCACACAGGGGAAAAGCTGTATTCCTGTCCTGAGTGCGGTAAATGTTTTTCAGTTAAGTCCAGTCTTTACACACATCAGAGATCTCACACAGGGGAAAAAGCCGTATTCCTGTCCTGAGTGCGGGAAATGTTTTTCAGTGAAGTCCAGTCTTTACAAACATCAGAGATCTCACACAGGGGAAAAGCCGTATTCCTGTCCTGAGTGCGGGAAATGTTTTTCAGAGAAGTCCAATCTTTACAGACATCAGAGATCTCACACAGGGCAGAAGCCGTATTCCTGTCCTGAGTGCGGGAAATGTTTCAGTTCTAAATCCCGTCTTAATGTGCATAAAAGATCTCACAAGGAGGAAAAGCCGTATTCCTGTCCTGAGTGCAGGAAATGTTTTACAAGGAAGTCTAATTTTTACAAACATCAGAGATCTCACACGGGGCAGAATCCACTTTCCTGTCCTGAGTGAGGGAAATGTTCCTCACTGAAGTCCTGTCTTCCTGTACATCAGGGGTCCCACACAACCCTGGAGGTGTATTAGTGCCTTGAGTGCGGGAAATGTCTTCTAGATGAATGTTGCTGGACATCCCAGCTCTCATCCGGGGAAGAAGCACACCCTGATATACACCTCAGATACAGTTGCAAGAAAAAGTATGTGAACCCCTTGGGATTACGTGGAGTTTTGCATGAATTGGGCATAAAATGTGCTCTGAACGTCATCTAAGTCACAACAATAGAAGAACACAGTCTGCTGAACATAATATTACACACAAACATTTGATGTTGCCATGGTTTAATTGCACATAACATGTAAACATTCACAGTGCAGGGAGGAAAAAAGTATGTGAGGGTCCTAGCTTAATGACTTCTCCCAGAGCTAATTGGAGCCAGGAGTGAGCCAACCTTGACTCCAATCAGTGTGATGATATTGGATGTGTTGCTGACAGCTGTCCTGCCCTTAAAAAACACACACCTGTTTTGGGTTTACTGGTTTCAAGAAGCACTGTCTGATGTGAACCATGCCTCGCAGAAAAGAGCTCTCAGAAGACCTACGATCAAGAATTGTTGACTTGCATGAAGCTGGAAAGGGTTACAAAAGTATCTCCAAAAGCCTTGATGTTCATGTGTCCACGGTAAGACAGACTGTCTACAAATGGAGAAAGTTTAGCACTGTTGCTACTCTCCCTAGGCGTGGTCGTCCTGTAAAAATGACTGCAAGAGCACAGCGCAGAATGCTGCATGAGGTAAAGAAGAATCCCAGAGTGTCAGCTAAAGACCTACAGAAATCTCTGGCACATGCTAACATTTTTGTTGACACATCTACAATAAGGAAAACATGAAACAAGAATGGAGTACATGGGAGGACACCACGGAGGAAGCCATTGCTGTCCAAAAAGAATATTGCAGCACGTTTGAAGTTTGCAAAAGAGCACCTGGATGTTCCACAGCACTACTGGCAAAATATACTGTGGACAGATGAAACCAAGATTGAGTTGTTTGGGAAGAACACACAACACTATGTGTGGAGAAAAAAAGGCCCAGCACACCAACATCAAAACCTCATCCCCACTGTAAAACATGGCGGAGGGAGCATCATGGTTTGGGGCTGCTTTGCTGCCTCAGGGCCTGGACGGATTGTTGTCATTAATGGGAAAATGAATTCCAGAGTTTATCAAGACATTTTGCAGGAAAACGTACGACCATCTGTCCGCCAACTGAAGCTCCGCAGAGGATGGGTGATGCAACAGGACAATGACCCAAAGCATACAAGTCATTCAACAAAACAATGGCTGCAACAGCACAGAATACGCCTTCTGGAGTGGCCCAGTCAGAGTCCTGACCGCAGCTCGATTGAAATGCTGTGGGCATGACCTTAAGAGAGCGATTCACACCAGACATCCCAAGAATATTGCTACATTAAAACAGTTTTGTGAAGAGGAGTGGTCCAAAATGACTCCAGATCGTTGTGCAGGTCTGATCTGCAACTACAGGAAACGTTTGGTTGAGGTTATTGCTGCCAAAGGAGGGTCAACCAGTTATTAAGTCCAAAGGTTCACATACTTTTTCCTCCCTGCACTGTGAATGTTTACATGTTATGTGCAATTAAACCATGGCAACATCTAATATTTGTGTAGTATTATGTTCAGCAGACTGTGTTCTTCTATTGTTGTGACTTACAGTTGCAAGAAAAAGTATGTGAACCCTTGGGATTACGTGAAGTTTTGCATGAATTGGGCATAAAATGTGCTCTGAACGTCATCTAAGTCACAACAATAGAAGAACACAGTCTGCTGAACATAATACTACACAAACATTAGATGTTGCCATGGTTTAATTGCACATAACAGGTAAACATTCACAGTGCAGGGAGGAAAAAGTATGTGAGGCCCTAGCTTAATGACTTCTCCCTGAGATAATTGGAGCCAGGAGTGAGCCAACCTTGACTCCAATCAGTGTGATGATATTGGATGTGTTGCTGACAGCTGCCCTGCCCTTAAAAAACACACACCTGTTTTGGGTTTACTGGTTTCAAGAAGCACTGTCTGATGTGAACCATGCCTCGCAGAAAAGAGCTCTCAGAAGACCTACAATCAAGAATTGTTGACTTGCATGAAGCTGGAAAGGGTTACAAAAGTATCTCCAAAAGCCTTGATGTTCATGTGTCCATGGTAAGACAGACTGTCTACAAATGGAGAAAGTTTAGCACTGTTGCTACTCTCCCTAGGCGTGGTCGTCCAGTAAAAATGACTGCAAGAGCACAGAGCAGAATGCTGCATGAGGTAAAGAAGAATCCCAGAGTGTCAGCTAAAGACCTACAGAAATCTCTGGCACATGCTAACATTTTTGTTGACACATCTACAATAAGGAAAACATTAAACAAGAATGGAGTACATGGGAGGACACCACGGAGGAAGCCATTGCTGTCCAAAAAGAATATTGCAGCACGTTTGAAGTTTGCAAAAGAGCACCTGGATGTTCCACAGCACTACTGGCAAAATATACTGTGGACAGATGAAACCAAGATTGAGTTGTTTGGGAAGAACACACAACACTATGTGTGGAGAAAAAAAGGCACAGCACACCAACATCAAAACCTCATCCCCACTGTAAAACATGGCGGAGGGAGCATCATGGTTTGGGGCTGCTTTGCTGCCTCAGGGCCTGGACAGATTGTTGTCATTGATGGGAAAATGAATTCCAGAGTTTATCAAGACATTTTGCAGGAAAACGTACGACCATCTGTCCGCCAACTGAAGCTCCGCAGAGGATGGGTGATGCAACAGGACAATGACCCAAAGCATACAAGTAATTCAACAAAACAATGGCTGCAACAGCACAGAATACGCCTTCTGGAGTGGCTCAGTCAGAGTCCTGACCTCAACCCGATTGAATTGCTGTGGCATGACCTTAAGAGAGCGATTCACACCAGACATCCCAAGAATATTGCTACACTGAAACAGTTTTGTGAAGAGGAGTGGTCCAAAATTACTCCAGATCATTGTGCAGGTCTGATCTGCAACTACAGGAAACGTTTGGTTGAGGTTATTGCTGCCAAAGGAGGGTCAACCATTTATTAAGTCTAAAGGTTCACATACCTTTTCCTCCCTGCACTGTGAATGTTTACATGTTATGTTCAATTAAACCATGGCAACATCTAATGTTTGTGTAGTATTATGTTCAGCAGACTATGTTCTTCTATTGTTGTGACTTAGATGACGTTCAGAGCACATTTTATGCTCAATTAATGCAAAACTCCACGTAATCCCAAGGGGTTCACGTACTTTTTCTTGCAACTGTAGGTGACGTTCAGAGAACATTTTATGCCTAATTCATGCAAAACTCCACATAATCCCAAGGGGTTCACATACTTTTTCTTGCAACTGTATACTCCATGGCTGATCTTCATTATGGAAGAAACAGTTGATAAGGAGATGAGAGGCCCCCAAAGACATGGATGAAGTGCAGTAAATGTCGGGGTGCAGAGTGGTCAGTAGATCCTGGAAATGAAGGACACAACTTCAGCCCTTCTTGGGTGTCGGAGTTGCGTTTCCTGATAATGATATAGCGGGTTACAGAGCTAGAAGCCGGGAGAGCCCAGATCTCGTTATCGGGGAACTTTACACAGACAACAAGAACTTCTGAAGTTGATGTCCTTCATTTCAAGGCTCTACAGAACAGTGGTGACCCCGAAGCGTCTCTCTGTCTTCAGTCCATCCTTCTCCCATCCCCCAACAGGAGGGAAGGAAAACTCCGCCCCAAACTAGGGGGGAACTTTCCTCTCATTATTTCCCTTGGCTTCTGTGTGGGTTTGGGTGGTTGGAGGAGTGCGGCACGAGAGGGAACACAGCTTGTTGTTCTATGTCTACATATGGGGTCTGGGTAGAGGGGATCCACCGGAAAATATTTCTACTCTTTGATTTTGTGCAAATCGTTTCTGTTTTCACTTTGAAGGGCGATATTATGTGTGGTTTGTAAAAGGGATTGGCCCAATAGATACCACCCCACTTAGAGAATAGATGAACTAATATGACCAGCATTCATTCAGCCATGTCACATGTTGGGATCTTTTCTACAATACTTTGTTATAATAATGGAACACGTTGTGTATTGTATTGTACACCAATAATAATGACTCCGCCCCCACATTCCAGACAAGGGATCTTCCTGACCAATCAGATTCCTTCCTTTGTTATTTCCTGATTCTATGATTACAATCTTGTTAGAAGTAAAACTATAATAAAGAATTTATTGAGTGAAAAGAATTGTGTGTGTCGGGGCCACGATGGGGATCTTTGGGGCCCAAACATTTCTCACAGGAGTCACTTTACAGGTCATCCAGTCTCTGGTTCACCATGAATAATGGCCCAGAGTGCAGGGGTCAGGAGACTACTTCATACAGCCCTGCAAACAACGTGCAGTGCTCAGGAGTTACATCCCAGAGTACAGAGTGTAGTGGTCAGGAGTATGTGATTTCCATCCCAGAGTGCATAGTGTAGTGGTCAGGAGTATGTGATTTACCTCCCAGAGTACAGAGTGTAGTGGTCAGGAGTATGTGATTTACCTCCCAGAGTACAGAGTGTAGTGGTCAGGAGTATGTGATTTACATCCCAGAGTACAGAGTGTAGTGGTCAGGAGTATGTGATTTACCTCCCAGAGTACAGAGTGTAGTGGGCAGGAGTATGTGATTTCCATCCCAGAGTACAGAGTGTAGTGGTCAGGAGTATGTGATTTACATCCCAGAGTACAGAGTGTAGTGGTGAGGAGTATGTGATTTCCATCCCAGAGTACAGAGTGTAGTGGTCAGGAGTATGTGATTTCCCTCCCAGAGTGCATAGCGTAGTGGTCAGGAGTATGTGATTTCCCTCCCAGAGTGCATAGCGTAGTGGTCAGGAGTATGTGATTTCCATCCCAGAGTACAAAGTGCAGTGGTCAGGAGTATGTGATTTACATCCCAGAGTACAGAGTGTA